TTTAATGATTTCCCTTTATGTTCACCAGAATTGTAACTGGCCAGTACTGTGCCTTGGGCAATACTACACTGCCCCCCACCCCTCCGCCCCATCTGCCTGCAATACCCTCACCTTACACACTGTATATTCCCTGCTCCATCCCAGCAGTGGGCATGACAGAAAAGTGACATCAATGTGTGTACAGAAGCAGCTGGGGATTTACTGCTGGAGGGAGATGTCACCTCCCCTTTTGGCTGTCGATATGCATAATGGGGGCAGGAGAGTAAGGTGCCCCCCTCCACTCCATTTCAGCATCCCTGCCTTAGGCAGTGCCCAGGACTCATGCCAGGCTTGCCCAGCCATCTCTGTTACTGATGTTCACTACCACAGAGTCCTGTCTCTGCTCTGCAGCAAGGCACATCACAGGCAGCTTGACTATGTGAAGAAAGAAGGCAAGAACTAAATGTTTCAAAATAATGAAAGATACTAACTGAGCCCTTGGGAGGGAAAAGGATTGCAATTAGTGAGGCAGTGATATCTGAGGTGTCTAGATGGATCTGTTTCAGGATCACTTGTCCTAAATTGGAAGTTACACAGACACCTGCATAGATAAAACACTGCCAGTCTATAGAGCTTGCTGGAGTTTGAAGAACTTTAGCTGGTAGCTGCTTTCCCATAATTTCCCGTTGATCTGTTCATAATGTGCAGTCACGCAGAATGTCAATGAGGCATTCAATGAGGCCAGGGCAGGGTCTGTGCTCTGCTTGTCAGAGAATCTGCTAAGATCAGTAAGTGATTGCTTTTCCCATCTCACTCAACATCCTCTCCTCATATCCCCCCATGACAGGTAACACTATTCTTCACATCCTGGTTCTCCAGCCCAACAAGAACTTTGCCTGCCAGATGTACAACCTGATCCTCTCTTATGACAAGGGTGGTGGGGGGCTGGAAGCCCTGGACTTGATCCCCAACAATGAGGGGCTCACTCCATTCAAGCTGGCTGGGGTGGAGGGCAACACTGTGGTGAGTTTGTGCATGGCACTTGACTTTCCTAATAGTAACTGATGTTGCTCGAGCATTTCTTACGCAGACAAAGAATCCCAAAGTGTTTTACATATGGACCTTCTGGGATCCGCTTGCCCACAGGGGCTTTGGGGTAGTGTGGTGGGGACAGTAGGGAGTGAAACACAGCTGCTGCTCTGTATCAGTGTCACCAAAGGCCAGTGTCACTGGTGGGGAAGTCTACTGTCTACAACCTACACCCCTGAACACCTTTCCTCTGACACTGCAAGGGGAGTATGGGGCCACTGGTTCTGGGCTGCTTCAGGGAGAAGCTCACCAACCCCTGTGTCTCTAGCAGCATGTCCTGAAGCCCAGAGAAGCATCAGCAGGGATTTAGGAAATAAAACACCTCCTCTTGAGTACCCTGTCCCATGGCCTCGGGGCATTGGCCTTCAGGTCAGCGCTGGTTTAGAGGAGAGAAGAAAGGAGCCCTTCCTCCACCACAGATGGCTTGGTTCTCATTGGAAAGCCCCCATCCACATGCATATCCATTTCAAATGTACTTAGCTTGAGAACCTGATGAGATCACAGCCCAACACCCTGCCTGCAAGGCTTTCATAGAGGAGTGTTCTCAGAGCTTATTTTAAGGCAAGCAAATTTAAAGTCCTGAGATGTTTTCAAAGGGGAGGTAGTTTTGGCAAATGAATACAGCCTCCCACAGGGGTGTCTGAGCCAGCTCTTCCCTTTTTGCTGACCAGATGTTCCAGCACCTTATGCAGAAAAGAAAGCACATCCAGTGGACCTTTGGCCCCTTGACCTCCACCCTATATGACCTCACGGAGATTGATTCCTGGGGAGATGACCTGTCTCTCCTGGAACTCATTGTCACCACCAAGAAGAGAGAGGTATGCTGGGCAAAGCAAGTACTTCAGCTGTAATGTATCCCACTCATCACAAAGCACTTCAGCACTCTAGTAATCTGGTATGACAGAGCTCATGGTAGCGTGTACTTTCATATGGGCCTCAGGCTGTACTTAGAAAAGCTTATTATGATCAAGGGTGGGCCTCCCTTCTTTTCTGGTTGTGTAAGTGGCCATTTTTGATGTCTATAGGGCACTGCTCTTACTTACACATCCAGAAGAATTCTAGTGCTGGACATATGTATGCACTCAGCCTGGCAGCAACAAAATGTTCATTTGGCATGATTGTAGTCCTTCATGTGTGCAGGGCTGTGTGTCCAGGAATAGTGTATCTTAGGACATCCAAGTGCCAAAAATGCCTTGTCACAAGCAAAAATGGACACTTATGGGAACCGAGAAAGAAAAGAACTTCAGCCTTGTGAGCGTCCAACAGGACTGTGATCCCTGCCTCTTCTTCTTCTTCTACACTCCTCAGTTTTTCTGTTTTTGGCAGGGCAGGATATCCAGTTACTTGCAAAGTGAATGTACCAGCAACATGCTTTGGACTGGTTTACTGACAGCTTATTTTCTAGATGTGCCAGTGGGGCAAATTCTGACCTGTTCCCACAGCCTATGCCTGCCTCATTTGAGTCATTCCTCTGCACTTGGCAGGTAGAAAAGTACAGGCCCAAGAGTGGAAGGGCCCGTTCTTGTTCAGTTTATCATACAGCAGTACTTCACTGGGTGCAGGCAGTGGTTGGCTTGTGAGTTAGTTTGTTTCTTGAGCAGTGGACTGGAATGAGATAAGTCTGTTTTTTGTCTCCCAGGCCCGTCGGATCTTAGATCTTACCCCTGTGACTGAGCTGGTGAGCCTGAAGTGGAATAAGTATGGGCGGCCCTATTTCTGCATCTTGGCATTGTTTTATGTGCTCTACATGATTTGCTTCACCATGTGCTGTGTCTACCGGCCCCTGAAACAACGGTACAGCAACAAAACAGATGAGCGGGACAACACCATCTACATCCAGAAAATGCTGCAGGTACATTCTGTGCAACGTTACATTTCTGGTACCATTTCAGAGCTTCATGCCCTGAAGAGCTCACAGGGGTTTCCAGACTGATGCAGGGAAAAATAATCCCTGCAGCCATTTACAGATGCTGTTCCCTGTGTCCCTTTTCTTCCCAGGAATTGGGGGTCAGCACTGACTCAGAATCAGGGGTGCAGTGCAGGTGGGCACACCTGAGCAAGCTGTAATCCACCTCAATCATGGGACAGTAGATAGGGAAGTGGATGGTACAGCCTTGGCTTCAGGCTGATATTCTGAATATGTAGCCAGTGTCCCTCACAGGCTGATACAGCCCACACTGAGGTCCCTGCCACCACTGCTCCCAGTGCCAGACTGGTCCTACTTGCATTAAGAATGCTGAGATGGCAGAAGCCCAGGTGTGGTACGGAGGAAGACAGGATCAGGAGGACAGATGGGAAGAAGGATACAGCCTATACCTCCATTCAACCAGCGCTAACCTGTATTTTCTTCTCACTCTGCCTTTCCCACCCAGGACCTCACCTTCTTCTGCTGTTTCTGGCCTCCCCACTCCCTCTTAGTAATTATAGTAATATTATAGTATAATAATAGGATATACTAGTACAGTATATTATTAGTAATAATAACCTGGCACTCTGTGGATCCAAACTACTTGAAACATTTAGGAGAAAACTCTTCCCAAAGTGGTGGTCTCTCATTTTATCAACAGTTTACAAAAGGCACGATTTGAGATACCTCATCAGGAATGCCAGACACCCATAGCCCCAGATGACTCCAGTGGGTGCTGCCCTGCTCATCATCTCAGAAAATCAGTCTCCCTGGTATTTCTAGATGCACACACAAACAGAAGGCCCTTTTGGCCCAGACAACTATGGAAACCAAGTTTTCTACCTCCCATAGTCCTGCCTGATCCTCTATACCAGGAGCATCAAACATATGGCTAGGAAGGTTCTGACCAGTGGGCGTGGGTCATTCAGCCCATGGGGATTCTCACTGCCGCTGCCAAAGCTGAAGGACCTTCCATGTTGGCAACAGCAGCAAAGGAGTTAATGCTGTTGCTGCAGCTTCCAGAGCAGCTGTTTCAGCTGCAGCAAGACAGAGGTGAGGTGAGGCCGCAACAGCATTAACTCTGGCTGCTGGTGCCAATAAAGCAGCTCTAGGAGCCACAGTGAGGAGCCCTGCAGTCTGGATTTGGCCCAATTTAGGTGGAGCCAAGAGCCAGATACTGTTCCACATGTTAGGTAGGCACCTCAGTATGGTTCTATGTCACCCTGTTCAAATCCATGAAAAGTCATTAATGCACCTACTTTTGTAACACAGCCTCATCTCAGCCTAAAGACTGAGTCACAAAAAGCAGTGAGGAGAAGGAGGACCCACCCACCTTTTCCTTTAACAGTTTTTCAGGGACTCAAGTGGGGTGAAATAGGACCTCACACATGGGCTTAAGTGGACTTGAGCACCTAGCAGGTGGAAGAGAATCTGGTTCTAAGGGTCTTCTCAGTTTTTAACTAACTGGGACCTCTTTCAGGAATCTTACGTGACTCCAGAAGATGATGTCAGGCTGGTGGGGGAGCTCATCACAGTGATAGGAGCCATTGTGATACTAATTTTGGAGGTAAGGGGATCAAGTTCTACTCCATCATCTTGTCTGTGAATGTGAACTGACTGAACCCATTTAAACAGCATGTCCCTCTTAGATTCCAGATATCTTCAGAGTTGGAGCCACCAAGTACTTTGGGCAGACCATCCTGGGAGGGCCTTTCCACATCATCATGTAAGGTGCCACCCCTTGATATTTGATGCAGCTTCCTTTTGGGGTGGACACAGGCTATGGAGTGGGATGGTAGGGGTTCTTGATGGGTAGAGCAGAGACTGGAGGGTTTGCAGGCGGGGATGTCGTGTGGGTGTGTGGTTCTAATTTTCCTGGCTTTACCTCTTCTTCCTCTGCAGCATTACCTATGCCTGTATGATTCTGGTCACCATGGTGATGCGTCTCACCAGCACCAATGGAGAGGTGGTCCCCATGTCCTTTGCCCTGGTGCTGGGCTGGTGCAATGTTATGTACTTTGCCCGGGGCTTTCAGATGCTGGGTCCCTTCACCATCATGATCCAAAAGGTAAGACACTGGTTGGTGGTGAGTTAGAAAGAGATGTTGATAGAAGTGTTGAGAAAAATGAAACCTAAGCAGCAGGTATCCAGATGATCATATCTCAGAAAATGTGGCAAGGTGGAAGCACCTTCCCAGAGGATCCTGGGCTGGGATATGAGTCTTGAGAGAATGGCTTTGGTCTACATGTAGAAGGAGGATCTAGGGGGAAACATGGTAAAGTAGAAGGGATTTTACAGATTCACAGATCAACAGAAGTTTAGGGCTGGAAGGGTCCTCATGAGATCATCAGGTCCAGCCCCCCTGCTCTACCCAGGAAAGACTGCTGGGGTCAAATAATCCCAGCAAGGTGTGTGTTCAGACCTCCAGGGTAGGTGCCTACACCCCCCCCCCCCC